TGTACATATATCTCTTTTCTGTATAGATGCACGTATATGTAGTATCTTACGTAAGGATCATACTTCGACATCGCGTCTGTACGTTCGCGAACATTGCTATCAATTAAAATATATAATTCGTCTTCGATAACAGCTATTAACCTCTTAACCGAGGAATATTTTCCAGGAATGTTGATGAAGTGGCTGTTTTTATATAACGATATATAAGGTGTGCGACGAAAGTCATAATGAAATATGTCGTCACGCCCATACACGCATGGTTTACCATTTGATAGTTAAATTGCAATTATATCAAGTAATATCGCTATTTTAAAGATCTACGTTTTAATTATCACAGCGTGAAGAAGTATGTGTTTTCCAAGCAATTGTTACAGAATTAAGGAAACTCTTCGCATTAAAATTGAAGATGACCGAGTTTACAGTTAAACAACAGTTTATTCTACAGACCACACTGTTATCTTAATATCTTGTACCAGTGTATATAGGGTGTTTTAAAAATGTTATCACCAGATTATAGATTTTTATGAATTTATAGAGTTTGAGAAAAATAAAAAATGAACAGAGTACAGAAACAGTGTAGAAAGATATACAAAAACAAGATATAAAGAAAGATAATTGTCATAATATTAAATTTGTAAGTATGTAAAAGTAAAATGTTTGTTGATATTTAGAAACGAACTTTCACCTAGGTTCCACTTATTCAATTGCGCTCATCAAAAATATGAAATTGTACAAAGATATGCAGTCTAGCCATAACGAATTGTTTCGTCATAGTATCGATTCTGTTCTATTTTCACACGAGGAAAAGTTTTATCCTACCAGGTTGACAGATCAAAAAGAATCGCATCGATCTTACGAGAGGATCGACTGTTTTTTTTTTCAACAAGCTGCGTGAACATCGTGAAATAATATTTACCGTGAGAAAATCACGGCGCAAACGCGATCGACGATCGTAAACATCAATTTTCACCGCTTTTGAATTTCAATCCGCACATCCTATTATAACTGCTAATTATAATAATTTATACGGGCTATGATACAATCACGTCGTACACCGAACGACAATAATAAATGCGATCTCTGTTAACGATCAAATATTTATGAACAGGTACGATTATCGTTTTCGATCACTACGCTGCGTCGCTCTCTCAACAAGCGTGCGTACACTTTTGAAAACGTCCCGACAGTGTTGCGAATTGCAAAATTAATTTCCCTCTCCTCCTTCCTCCCCCCCCCCTCCCCCTCAAGCTTGTCGAGTGAGTGATATCCCTTAAACGTACACGGCCCGAGTGATTTACGCAATCGTCCATCGATACCGGATTTACCCAGCTTTTAATTGGTTTTAATATGGCTGACATTCGCCTCGGCCAAAATTTTATTTATACATTGGCCCAAATTAACCGGATGTCGCCGGACGGATTTATGGCGAGTCTCGTCGACTTCAGCGCGATTCCTTCCACGAAAATCGCACGCGAATCCGCCGCACTCGAGTTGATGAGTTTCATGCAATCATACATCCGAGTATTTCAACTATTGACGAAGGAAATCCGAGAATCACAAACATTTCGTGACTAATTTATTTATTAGTCAATGTTATGCAAAGTCTTAAAAAACGACGATGTTTCTTATATTTGTTAAATGAATCAGAATAAAAACCTATATAAGATGCATTCTTTCATTATTATAATTACAATCTCAAACGTGTATTTATAATAATGATCTCAGATGTAATTTCATTATTATTATACTGTAATTATGAAATAAATATTCACTTTATTGAAAAGTTTTATATAATTTTTCAAGAGATTGTATTCCCTAATTATTTATATAATTCTACTAAGAAACGTAGTATTCTGTATTCTAGAAACGATCTAATTCTATCTAAAAAAGTTAATTAAAACACATAAAATATTCGAAATTTGACAGATATATACAGAAACTCTTCAATGACTGTAGATTTTTCGAAGAGTTTCTCACGGAGAGAAGATAGAACACGTATTATTGTGTTACGTGTTTCTATGTATGATTACGACGTTAATCATAGTTAATCGTCGAGTCATCGTGGCTTGATCTGAAGATAAGTCCTGTTTTCAATTTGAAAGTTACGTTTGCAGTTTTTCGTCATTTTTGAAAAGAAGTTACGCAACCTCGATCTAAACTCGAGAAAAAAGGAAGATCCTTAGGAAATCCAAGGAATAGAGTTAACAGTAATTGTTATGGGAACTTCAGCAATCGTGAAAGTAAATACGTGCTCTTTGTCACGGGGCAAAGAAGTTAGATTTCTGATACGTGGTGACCTAGAATACTAGCTAGTAGCGTTGACAATTCGCATGGTATGATCGCTGCACGTGTTTGCAACTTGACTTACTCACTGCAACCCGAGTGCTGAGAGTTACCGAGAAAGTAATTAGCTACACCACGATTATCTTCAATTGACTAATATTGTTTCGCAATTAACTCGAGTAAAGATACTTCGTTTTTATCAATTATATCAATTACTTTTAAAAATAGATCGATCATACATGTCTGAGAATCTCACTCTTCGTCTTATTAATTATAATTCTTATTTATTTTATTATTATTCCTCATCAATATTTGCATTATACACGCTTTAATTGGATACAAATGTATCAAACTTCCTGTAATTTAGTAGCACTTTGATTGCGAGAATTTGATATGCTACGAGGATGAAGTATGAAGATAAGAAAGAGGGTCTGGTAAAAACATGTCTTCATTAGAAAATAATGGTACAAAATACGCTCAGAATGTCGAACATGTAATAATTAAATTGCTAAGTTCTTTGAAAACTCACATTTCGAATATCTATTAAATAGCGATAGTATTGAAGGGTTTAATTTATTATTTTATATTCTTATGTAACTGTACAATTAGACAAGTTAACGCATTCGCAGCCGCTGACGTGAATTCACGTCTTTGAAAGTTCTTCACTTCAAACAACAGATCGTTACAAGGCGTTACGTTTCAAAACAAATTTTCCAATTTTTTTGTCCCTGTGTCAGAAATTTGCAGCAAAAATTAGTTCGAGATTAGTTTTACAGTATTAGAAAAGCGAAAAATTTCGTCCGGTCGCGAATGCGTTAAGTTGGAAACGACGAATGTAAAGGACGAATAAGTATATTTTCTGCCAGAGCGAAATTGTTCCTCAGTATTGTCTCGAAATGAAATTTTTCGCATTTTAATTTCAGACGAACATGCACGCGTCGTTTCCATACGACGGTGGTCGCAGTAGTGGCGGAGGCGGTGGCGGCGGAGGCGGCGGTGGCGGTGGCGGCGGCGGCGGCGGAAGAGGCGTCGAGTATGGCGCTGTCCGCCGTCCTGACGCCCTTCTGCCACCCCCAGGCCTCGACCAAACCGACCTCGTTCTCCACAGCAGCCTCGTAGACGACCCCCAGGTGAGCGACGATGTACGTAATCGCAACGCATTTTCTCTATTATCGTTCTACCGTTGTTGCACTCTCCGATCACTTCATTTCACCAATGAAAATGTTTATATTTCAATACTCGTAAAAAATTGTTTAATCTTTCTAAATTGTTTGTAACACTACGTAACAAACGGCTGTCTTAACTTACTGTAATAACTTACAAATTTATTGTACAAAATGTGATTTTTATTACGTACAAAGGAACAATCGATAACTATGAATGTGTAAGTATTCAATATGTAATATTTAAACATATTACGATGCGGTCATTAACTGTTGGAAATTATCTGACGTCACAACAATATCATCAGTTATCAAGTACTAATCGCATATAGTGTTAACATCATTTCGTCAAGTTTACATAACAGAGATTTAAACGAATGAACTTCCGTTAAATAATTTTTTTAAAAAATAATTCTACGATCTTTTCCTTTTAAATTTGAAATTCTTATAGCGTCAGCGAGAGATTTAAAACGAATATTAAAATTAAAAAATAATACTGCAGTTTTCTCCTTTCGATTAAAAACGTTATATTATTATTTGTATTTGCTTCGATCTCTTATATATTCATTACTATTTCAGAATACAAACGTAGACGATGGAGGATTCATGAACGACCTGCCTCTCCTAAAAAGTAAGTAATCTCCTCCAATCTACCGCATTATCGACAATCGTTGTAAGATCGTGTTAAAATCATCTTCAAATTAAATACGCTTATCCCATATTATCGCGAGAATCTTATTATTCGTTTCCATCTTACCAGTTTCGTCCCGGTTGAACGCTCGTTATCAAAGGTGCTACTTAAATTTGCCGTCTTATCAGCCAGTGTTATCTCGTCGACGATATCGTTATCTCAGTTTTCAAAGCTGTGCAAGTTCTAACACCACGAGCAACGAGACCCCGTCAAAGACCGATAAATGGCGAAGAAGTGACATTATCCCGGCGTGGAAAACGTGTCCGTCGCGCAACCGGAAATATAAAGTCGCCGTGCCGGTAACTCGTCGCTTTTAATTGGAATTTATCTGCCTCGGTGTCGTATCGACTGCTCGTCCATGAACGGAGTTCTGAATTTCAAACCGAGGATGAAAAAAAGGAAAAAAGCGGATGGCCATTAATACGCCTAGAACGGTCGTGATTGCAAGGAAAATGAACCGCGACCGGACGATCGTTGATCGTTCATCGGTTCCTCGTGGTATTTGGAAAATCGAGAATCGCATATGATACAAATCAGTCCGCTTTTTCCATGAAATGCAAAATCAATAGAAAAATCGTTCATATCGTGAGAACGTGGCGCGTTTAAATTTCACAATCATAGCCAGATTTCGAATGTATATATTGGGAAATTAACGAAAAATCTATAAAATGTGCTTTACTATTAGAATATTGGTATTACAATATTCAATGGATGAAACAAATTTCTAGTTAGAATCATGTTCGTGAAAGTATAAGAGTGAAGAATAAAGAGTAAAGAATAAACAATAGATAAAAATATAAAACTGTAATTGATTATTGAAGGATTGAAATACATGACCGAATTAAAAATTCTCAAAATCTTGACTTGAATTAGAATCTTTACTATAATTTAGAAACCTGTTATATCACAGTACGATTTTCATTTTATCTAAAATTAACTAGACACTGGATTTGATGATTTGAACTGTAGCTTTAATGGAAAATAAAATGAATCGAGTCAAAACAATATTTCACAGAGGATAACTGAAATCGTCGATACATTATTTAGTTTTCTCTCAGCATTAAAGTAACTGTAGTGCACTGAAAACCACCATCGTTCCACGTTCTAACATTTCATAAATCGTTGCGCCATTTTCATATATCGACGTATTGCACGTGAAACAACAACATGACAAAAATGAACAATTACAGTTTGCTAAAGATTAACTACACTTCTTCTACGATACAGTACTTTGGCAGTTAAGATAATCAGAAAACAAGCTACCCATAAAGCAAGTTATTGATTGCCAAACAAATTACTCGATAATAAATTCAATTATCCTGTCGGCCGGAAGACATCGCTATAACTCAGCGTGTTTCGTGAAATTGACTTTTCATTTTTCAATCCTCGCCAGAAACAGGCTAGATAGCATCGAACTAAGGTAAAAGTCCGTACGCCATTGATCTAATTAAAAGTTTATCTTCGCAACTTGCCCAATAAAATCGCTTAGCCGATAGTGGGTCGCACTTTCACGCAGATCTTGCCACTGATTCTCAGAACTATAAATGTAGAAATAAACGATTTCTACGGTTCGTAGATTTCGTTTAGTTTCATTCAACACGTAACTGGATTATCGGCTTCGTTGCGGTTAATTTTATACTAATAATCGTTGGATTTTCATGCATTCGTGTGAAATTTGAAGAGATGCAAAATTTATACAATATCCAGAAACACAATATAATATAACATAATACAATTATATGTCGATATCATTACTCAAAGATTTATGTAATTTTTTTTTTTTTATTGTCTCATTATGTTTTTAATGCCGCAAAGGAACGGTTTACTTCTATTTGCTAATTCGACGTGAATTAAATTACGTGAATAACACTCTATTGCTAGTATGAAATTCTAACGAGCTCTCAGATGGATCATTAATTTTAAACCAACAATTATATCACGCGTTGATTCAATTTTTATAGCCATGTTAATTATCAATGCGCCGATCATTTATTACTTCATTGTGTTGCCAAGTCTGCATTTATTTCTATTTACCATTTCGGTGTGAATTAAACATAAATTGAACCGCAAGTAATAACCATTAAATTAAAATTGTAACTCCGCTTAAGAATTCAATTAAAATTGAAAGTCCACTTAAGGCGTCAACGCGGCAGCACACGTACGAGCGATAAAATCCTTCACGTTGGAATTTCAGATTGTCACTTCAAAAAGTAGAATAGAGGCACGCAGATGGCAGAAACTGTCCAATACGCACGTATTGCGCAATGTTGAACCAATTATTCGAAGATGTCCCTGTTATAAGGAAACTTGCACTTCGATCGATCCTCTGGATCGCGATCGCGCGTGTCGATGCGAGAACGTATCGCAGCCAGCTGAACATACACGTTGCGAAAGTGTTACGCGAGCCGACACGTTGGGTTTTATTCTCAGGTGTTTTTCTCCGCGGGTACCAAAGACCCGCCATTCTTTCGAGCTATAGTTATATAATTAATCGCCAATGACAGGGTGAAGTTCCTTTTGCAATTGGGCCAGGGAAATTTATACTTGGAAGAGTAGAATAAAATGGAACTTTTTTTAGATAATTAAAAGGAAAATTTACTTGACAACTATGAAAGTTAAATTTACCTTACAGTTGAGAGGAAAATTTATTTCATAGTTATGAAAATTAAATTTGTTTTATGATTAGACGAAAAAATTTTCATGCGTAATTTACAGAATGGAATAGAATTTTTCTTATTAGACAAGACTAGGAGCAAGACTTATTTATAGTTGAGAGTTTTTCAGTTATTGATTACTAATGGTTGTAAGTCATCAATGAACTGTGAACATTCATACTCTAACCTAGGTAGAGAACTGAATTTATTTTATAACTAGATAAGAAGAAGAACTGCAAACTCATAATTAAGCAAAAAAAAAAAAAAAATTAAATAATTTATTTTATTTTCGACTGGTTGTTTTTATAAATACGATTTTAAAAGTAAAACCTAGATAGAAAAACATATCGTCCAAGAATATTCAGAACATTTTGTATAATTCAACTGCTTCGAATTTCCTACATAAAATTCATGGAAACTCGCGATCTAGTCATCAATCGTCACATTTTACTCTTCGAACGTTCGACGACAAAACACACAGTAGTAGCGACCCTCGACGCGATCCTTGATTCTTTCAAACGGAAAGGGCACAATGGCGGAAAAGGTGTTACCGGTTCGAGATCTCTACTGTACCGTACAGGCTAAATACGTTTCGTCGGGGCGTCAGAGAGGTGCGAAATCGAAATAAAACTGGAGTGGATGCCCGCGGGCGGATCGGATTTCGTTCATTGTCATTGTAATTTCTTGGCGGGGCGCAGTTTTCGGGGCGTTACACACCATCAGGGGTATTACCTACAGATGGCTGTTTGTTCGAACGTCACCGTGGGTTATTATATGCCTCGTTACATGCCCTGTGACGGGCTTATTTGGCCAGTTTTCCCTTCCCCTATATTTCGCTTCCCCGTCGCCATTGTCCCTTTGTTTCCAACCGCGTATCCGACATTGTATCGTCGAATTTAGAAAGGTGTATCCGGACGCGTGTTCACTTCAACGTGACTTCTTTTCTTCTACCCTTACGCGCCAGAGTTCCACGCCGTCTTTCTACTTGTTTGCTTTCCTCTTTTTCTTTTTTTTCTTTTTTTTCTTTTTCTACCGTTGACAATTGTACAAACAAGATGACAACTTTCGTGACAAAATTCTGGGAATGTAGCAACCGAATTCTGTATTTGTTCAAATCCATTCTCCAGGTACTTGAATTTTATTTTTTGTTTAGATCAGATTTCAACATGAATTTCTATTGTATGAACGACAAATCATTAGTAGAGAGAGGAATTCTAATACGAACACCAATTATATGAATCACATGTTCGTCTATATAAATGAAGTCCTACAGTAGTCTCTTTGTAAAATATACATATATGATTATTGATTCTTGATAATCCTCGATTAATTTAATTTACATTATTTCTCACTGTTATAATGTAACTCCGTGTTACACTACGTTAAAATTGTTGTATTTTTCTTCGAATTTCATAATTCTCAATTCTCAGGTTCCCAGTACAAAATATCCTATCTAAAGCTTTATTAGTTCTTCTTAAAAAAAAATTTTTTGTTTTTCGCATATTACCGTTTCCTTCGGTTTTTTATTGTTAATAATATAATGTCGAACATTCACAAATGTGTTCCTATTGTAGAAAAAAAATCGGAGGTATTGATGGATTACAGTGACAGATGAAAGAAAGTTTGAAATCATTGATATAAAATCTTTTTTTGTTTCTGTATGAAATACTCGTCTATTCCAGAATATTTTTCTCCTTTATAATTAAAGTTTGAAAAATTAAACTGTTCGGATAAAGCTTGAATTTTATTCGACGTGGTACATTTTCCCCTCGCATTCTCTCTGCTTGCTCAAAAAACTCTCATTCGTCACGTGCGCAACTTTTTGCATTTCAATTTTATAATTTCGATCCGTTAGATTGAAAAGTATCGCTCCTCCGCCCACGTTCTAGCAAAAACTAGTCTGTCACCGTTGGAATATCGAGCCGATCGGTAAGAGCAACGACAAATACACACAACCAATGGTACAACATACGCGTTCGGTTTCTCGGAAGCCGGTTATACAATTACTTGCAGCTTACCTTGGCTCCTTCGTCACTCCTCGACGTGCTCCAGTTTAGCTGTTTAACGTCGCTCCAAGACATACGGACGAGATGAATTTTTCTCTCCTCGGTGCCTCGAACTGGAAGAAATTCAAAATTCGAACGTTGAGAATTTTATTCATTGATCGAGAGAACTGAGAAACTTTTGCAATCGTTGGAGAATAAAGAAATTAGAGTCGTAAAGGATATATTAATCGAAGAAAAAAAACTATCGCTCATTTTTATATCTCAATCTTGCCTCCATTTTGGTAAATAAAAAGAAAGTTTTAAGACATAAAATTTTAGACATAAAATTGGAAGAACGAAAAGTTATACTAATAAAACTTCTTTTCGTAGGTGAAAAAAAATGTTCTTTTTCTCCGATCGTGTTAAAAAAAAATTTTTTTGATCAAAAATGAGTGGAAGAATTTGGTTTTGGTTTGCTTAACATTTGGCGGCTCTAACTACAGGCTATGAATAACTACTTGGAAAATCATTCTCAATTCACGAGTTCATGTTGCATCGTGTAATCAGACATCTGTTGACATCTGTTTTCAGCGTTCAGGCGTTATTTCGGTTATAATCTGTTCCTTTTTAAGTAGGTCTTACAACTGTATTTTACAGAAAGTTTCACACTTATCAAATTCTCTTTTACAATACTTCCAGCAAATAGTCACAAGATAATCAGTATAATAAGTAATAACAGTCACAACAAATAACCCAAAAATGGTCAATAATAATAAACGAGGGAAATAAAGAAAAGACACAATCTTGAGAAGTTGGAAATGATTAACCTTGGAAAACACGAAACTCGAAAAATTAAAGAATTTTCTAGTTACCGAGGTTTGCGCGAAGCGAAAAAGAAGAAGAGATTCCCAGGCACTGGATAAGGAATGGAAACGAGTTTTTGTGGTTAATCAGTGATCCTTCGTCAACGGTAGCTCTTGAGGCTGGCTATCAGAGCCCACAGCCGTATTAGAAACAATTAATCATTCAAATGAGGCCAGCGGACGGCACGCTTTTACTATGTTAATGATTTTTCTAATTTACCCGGTCAACGGTGTTCGGTCAATTAACTCTCGTCGTTGCGGAACCTCTTACGGAACCAGCCACGTTACGCATTGCGCTGTTAAATTACCGAACGAAGTTCTCGCTGGGTGTTGCCAGGCCCGTGGACAGTGCTCGAATCTGAAAATTATGCGCGCCTTTCCACGTCGAGCCCGGCTTGACTTATGGCCAGAATTGTAATTTACGGTTCACGAAGGACCGAGCAACGTGTGTTTTGGATATCGTGAGAGTTGTCAGATGTGTTTTATTAGGAGGGCATTATGATAATATCGTTTCAATCTCTCCGACAAACCTGTTTCGTCGCCCCGTACAACACGCAGCCGTTGTGTCGTCTCGTTATCGCTCGTAAATGAGATCTTTTATTTGTTTCAATGAGTCGTACAATTTGTTACCCACGAAGTTCCCCATTTGTATAATTTTCTTTTTTTTTTTTTATACGACAATAATTTGCGAAATCTTTTACTTTTGTCTTTTGAGTGTAATTTTTCTAATATCGTCATCTAAAATCGTCAAGATCGATCGAGTTACACCTTAGTGAGTGTTAAAGAATCAATGGCTTTTCACGTCGAATAATTTGGTTTGATAGTTGATATTTTACATTACAGATATATTCTGTTCGATAAATTATTTATCTTATTTCAAGGCAGGAAAAACGCCGAGCTCAAATTCATAGTTGTTTAATTGTCGGATATTAAAGATTACGTCATGCACAGGAAACCTGTTCGAAATGAATCGATTTCTATGCATCTTTTTCTTATTTGATTACATTTCTAGCGGTTGGTCGCATTACCAATGCTGAATTTCACATTAGAATTCCTATCTCGTTATCCCTATCAGCTTAAGCAACACCCAGACACTTATCCTTTAAAAATTACGCAAGACCACTTTTTAGTCGACCAAGGATGTCGTGCCAAACACAGAAATTACAAAAATTTCATTCATAACATTTAATTACATCGAAGTAGATACGTGCAACCGTGTTACGCTACAATCTTGATCGTCATTTATCTCATTTAACCACTAAACTCCGACGATAAGATCTCTCGCTGTCTCTATCTCTTTCTCATAAAAACCATCTAGATATATAAAACCATTTGAACAATCTTATCCTACTACAATCTGATTTAATGATTCCGCGATAATCTATCGAATCTACTAATTATTATTTTTTTTTTAAATTCAATAACACTAGAATCCACTTTTTAGACGTCTAACATAAATTACAACAGTCGTCTACAATTAAACGATACAGTGGAAATTTTGTTATGTTTTGTTATATAACTGCAATTCATACTGATTCTCCTTTTTCATTAGCGATCTTTTTTGTTCATACAATGAGAGTACAAATAACCAGTAAACCAGTAAAAATTCATTTAATCGGGTATCGACTAAAACTTGTACTTGAGAGCCATTTCTTCAATCAACATTTATACGCTAGCAAATACATTTACGAAACTGTTCTACGAAACTCAATCTACGAGAAATATGAAGAAAAAGAAAAAGGAAAAGAAAAAATTCGAAAGAAACTCAATTCCAAGCATTCGAAATTCAATCCGAACTAATATAGAACTATAAATAAAGTCGGGGACACATTGCCGCGCTCTGCAAATCGATTTCAATCGAATGAAAATCCAGTGGAGAAGTGGCTGTTTGCCATTGTGCTCCGTTAGCAAAACGAAGCGGAGTTGTCGCGAGTTGGTTGGATGGATGGACGGATGGAGAGCGGCCACCATCTTTGTGCGAGGGCAAGCTAACCTTCGTAGAATCAAGGCCTAATGTAATTAACGAGGACCAGTGGCGCGTTGCCCTCGGGGCCAGGTGGATCCCTGCCTCGCGAACACCCCTGCGGTGCGTTGCAAGGGTCGAAAAGTCACACCCCAGCCGCTTGGTGGTAACCAATCAAGGTCGAGAGATAAGTGAACTCGTTCCTACGCGGCGATTGGTTAAGTTTCCGGCACGTTGATTGCCCAGGAAATTGTGCGTGCGCCGGGGATGCCTGCACGTGCGAACTTTGGACCAGCCCGGCTCAAGGCTATTCTCACTTTTGCAAATTAAGGGCTCGAAACGCGCGCACGTGCAAACGTGTGTATGCAGGTTCAGATCATGCGGGCTCGAGATTCCAGACTGGTCGGACGATAAAGATCTGGCTTGATGACGAAGATAGAGACGATGAGAATTCTGCGAGAGTGTAAATTGTCTGAAACTGATTGGTTTGTACCACTTGCGAAGAGGAACAGATACACGCAGTATACGTGCAATTAATCGACGATGGAGATAAGATTTGCAAATAAAACGTTCCTTTTCCGTGGTCCAGAATTGTACTGTTTCAATTTTTCAGTACCATGGTTCGTGAATGAGTATTTAGATATATCTTTACACGAGATACTGAAAGAAAACAGCAAAGGCTTATACTACTTACAGTGGAAGAACAAACAAATATTTAATTAATATACATAATTCTGCAAATGAAATATCGTTTTCCTGTAATATCTACAATTATATTTATTTTGATAGCGTTTTGATAATTGAATGAATATTGAGAGAAATGATCTGATACTCATAATTACAATGCTACTTGCGAAGAGCAGTAGACAGTGGCTTGATCAATGTAGATTTTAAAGCTCGAGTAATTTTGAAATTCTGTCAAATTAACAATCTGCACATAAATAAATGTGGTAAATCATCAAATACTTGGTAAAACACTTGTCTAAAATTGTAATCTCTGAAATGGTACGGGAATTAATCTCGGTCACTCTCTTACATCCATCCAAGCTACATGCTACTCGGAACTAATCACGCAGAGTGTCGATAATTTCTCACCATACCATGAGCTCATGAAAAAAAAAAAAAAAAAAAAAGAAACTAATACGTGATTCCGTGCTTCAAAATGAGCAAGAGTAACGTCCGTAATGGAAATTGTATTTGAATAATCATTCAGACACGCGCTTATTTCGACTTTGATTGATAACCAACCGCGTAACACTGTGAAATAAAAACACGACTAAATAAACGATCGGCTCCCGAGAGTAATTAAAACATCATATTGCTCTGGAACGGGCACGTACTGCTTGTGTACGTAACTCGTGAAGGATTATCTAAAAGGTGTGATGGAGTATCGCGAGTTGTGTCTGTCGACCGAGTGCAAGGAAAGTTTGACGTCTATTTACGTAACGTTGAAATTCAGCCTTGAGCGGTGAACGATCCTTGGCGCAGAATTGCAAATCGATCTGCGAAATTTATTGGAAATTTGACGTGCACAGAGACGAACGTTCGTCTGTCCCTGTGCAACCATGGTATCTTGTCAATCATAAACAATTTAATTATGTATTAACTGTAATACACTTTTACCGTTACTTTTCGGACGAGACAAACTTCTTTCCACGGTTTCTTTAAATTATGACTGTGATCAATTTCGTAATATAATTAATTGAAATTTCAGTAATATTTAACGACTTGAAGAAGTAATTACACTCGCATCGTACAACTCTTGACAGCTCTTTGGTACAAAAATTAAAATTAATTTCACTTTCCTTCGGCTATCCTCCTCTGAATTGCGTGATTATGTGACTTCCCCTAATAAGCGATTAAGCCATCATTGATCATTAGTTGACACAACGTCATGTGTCAAACGAAATGACTTCCAAGCGCCATATTATTCAGTAATAACAGTACCAAATAATTCTCGATCCAGATAATGGAATCGGAGATTAAAAAAAAAACTTCGTCCCTCGAAAATTCTTTCGCATTTTTAATTAC